AAAAATTTAGCTCTTAAAAAACAAACAAACAAACAAACAAAAAAAACAGTGTGACTGAGTGAATGAAGATAAGTTGGATTTTTTCAGAGCATTCTTTTCCTCAAGACAAGCTGCACCGTTCTTGGGATTTATGTCTCGCCACATGGTAGAGGATGGGGGTACTACAGGGTGCAGTTCTTCTACCACTGGGCAATAGAGGTTGAGAGAGATTCGGCATCTTTCTGGGATTAAATTCAAGTCTTCTTACTCCTACTGCAGCTGTGTCTCTAATGTTGAGACTTTGCAGATCGCAGAGACTCCATAATAGGTAAACTTGGGGCCGGGTACAGTGGCTTAGGCCTGTAATCCCAGCACTTTGGAAGGCTGAACCCGGGAGTTCAAGACCAGCCTGGGCTACATGGCAAAATCCCATCTCTACCAAAATTACAAAAAAAATAGCTAGGTGTGGTGGTGCGTGCCTGTGGTCCCAGCTACTCAGGAGGCTGAGGTGGGAGGATCACTTGAGCTCAGAGGTAGAGGCTGCAGTGAGCCATGATCATCATACCACTGCACCCTGGCCTGGGTAACAGAGTGAGACCCTGTCTCAAAAATTGATTAGTTAAAATAAACTAAGATAGCTAAACTTAGATAGGCAGTAGGTATTTTTGCCCATCTGAGGAGGAACTCAGTCAAGCGGTTACTTAACAGCTTGATCCAGGGCGGGAAAGATGAGTTGAGATTGAAGTACCCACTTCCACACACGAACATCCCTTTGAAGCTTGCTTTGGCGAAGGGCGTCAAAAAGCTGAGTCTCTGTTGGAGGTGGGGGTGACTTTGCTCTCAGTGTTCCCTTAGCTTTTGTGGATTTAAAACCACTCTGCTCCCCCGAATCCTTTTGTTTGGTTTCAGCCCGTGTTCTTGACAATGCAGAGCAACTCTGAGCAGTCACAAAGCCTACTCTCTGTTCTTGTCCCTGCCAACCCCCATCCCCCAGAATCTGACTCACTATTTCACCATCAGCTGGGGTCACACCACTAGTCTCTGTCCTATGCCCCACGAAATGTACATACTGTATCATAAGTAGAAGAAAATAATTTTTGTTTTCTAAAAATGCATTTTGAGATAGTTTAATGTAAATCTGACAGGAGCATTCTGAAGCCCCATTAGGAAAAATTTTAATGGTTCCTCTTCATCGCCTTAATGTCTAAAGATCAGAAATCGCTGAGCAAACCTGCTTTTGTTTCCTTCCCAGAAACAATGCAAGACAACAGGTGGAGATAGTCTGGTCTTTGCCCTGCTGTGTGTGCCTCTGTAGCTCCTCCTGACAAACGTCTGGGAAAACAGCCTCACCCCACTCCTCTCTCTTCCCATTTCCTTGTAGCTTTATTCCTTGCATTCTTTGGGTCTACTGAGCAGTGGGTGCTGAGGTGACAGGGGAGGAACCAGTAGTTCTGTAGCCTAGGAACTCCCTCGGTGTCTTTGCCAGAAAAAGGCAAAGAGGTGGACAGTACAGGGCTCCTCCCTCCTACCTCAGGCCTGATCCATCCTGCCCTTGACTTTGCTGTCCCAAAGTTTCTTAGCTGACTTTGGTTTTCACATCTGTTCTTTCCAGAGCTAGCTGATAAAGAGTGGAGGAGGAATGCGTCCTCCTGAGAGTCAGTTGAAAGAAAGACAAGAGAGTCACATCTTAATTTTTGCACAAGGCATTCGTGGTCAGGAACAGGTTAGGGAATGGTCACTTCTGATTTTCCAAGAGTCGCTCCTTTTCTGCAGATATCTTGATTCCTTTGGGAAGACAAGAATTTTTCTTAATAACCAAGGTCCCTTAATGAGTTATTCCTTCTTTGGGTTCATCTCACTGGAGCACAGCCAAGATGGGCATGTTTATGGACAGTGCTCTAGATGTGAAAACAGATAGAACTGGTTTGTGGGACAGGGGCCGCTTGCTCAGGAGAGGGAATAACGCAGGTCCCTTTTCTCAGAAGACTTGTACTATGGCCATGACAGTGACATTGCCCTCGCCATGATCCCTCTCCGAAGTGGTTGTCTTTCTGTACCTTGTGTCTTCTCTTGTAAAAATGAAACTCAAAAATAAAATTAATTGTGTCAAATTTTGAAAAAAAAAGAAAAAACTGAAAAAGCTAACATGAATTGTGTGAAATTGCATACTGCTGTAATGCTAACCTACAATATGTAATGCTATCTTGTATGTTGAATTTGTTAATGCACCAGGCAAGTGCAAAATAAAGACTGATTCACATTAAATAGGCACAGTGATGTCAGCATGATTCTCTGGGAAGCTGGATGACTCTCAGTGAGGTTATCACTCAGACTCCAAAAGGATGTTCTAGGGCATGTTTTCCAAAGCGTGGTCCCCAGACCACTTGATGCAGAATCATCTCAGGGCACTTGTTTAAAAATGCAGATTCCGGCCAGGCATGGTGGGTCGCGCCTGTAATCTCAGCCCTTTGGGAGGCTGAGGCAGGCGGATCACAAGGTCAGGAGTTTGAGACCAGCCTGACCAACATGGTGAAACCCCCTCTCTACTAAAAATACAAAAAATTAGCCAGGCATGGAGGTGCATGCCTGTAATCCCAGCTACTTGGGAAGCTGAGGCAGGAGAATTGCTTAAACACAAGAGGCAGAGGTTGCAGTGAACCAAGATTGAACCATTGCACTCCAGCCTAGGCAACAAGAGTGAAACTCAGACTCAAAAAAATAATAATAATAATGCAGATTCCAGGCTCCCATCCTAGATACTCTCATTTGGCAAGTGAGTTGGTTTGCCGTTTGTTCTAGTCTTTCTTTTTTCCTCTTGAAATGTAATTTCTGAGACCATCCCTACTAGAGGGGCTTTTAGTGCTGAGAATCAATCTGCCCCTTTAATTTGAAATATTTATCACAAAAGCAATCCTGAGACTGGCCAATTCTGTTCTCTCATTCATTCATTTATTTACTTTTTTTTTTTTGGTGGGTGGTTGGTTTTTTTTGAGGCAGAGTCTCACCCTTGCTGGAGTACAGGGGCTCAATCTCAGGTCACTGTAACCTCCGTTTCCTGGGCAAGCGATTCTCATGCCTCAGCCTCCCAAGCAGCTGGAACTATAGGTGCACGACACCAGTTTGGCGAATTTTTGTATTTTTAGTAGAGATGGAGTTTCACCATATTGGCCAGTCTGGTCTCAAACTCCCAGCCTCAAATTATCCTCCCACCTTGACCTCCCAAAGTGCTGGGATTACAGGCATGAGCCACTGCACGCAGCCTCATTTACTATTACTATTATTTATTTATTTATTTATTTATTTTTTGAGACGGAGTTTCGCTCTTGTTACCCAGGCTGGAGTGCAATGGCGCGATCTCGGCTCACCGCAACCTCCGCCTCCTGGGTTCAGGCAATTCTCCTGCCTCAGCCTCCTGAGTAGCTGGGACTACAGGCACGTGCCACCACACCCAGCTAATTTTTCTATTTTCAGTAGAGGCAGAGTTTTAGCACATTGGCCAGATGGTCTCGGACTCCTGGCCTCAAGTGATCTGTCTGCCTCAGCCTCCCAAAGTGCTAGGATTACAGGTGTGAGCCACCGTGTCTGGCCTATTTTTTTTTTTTTTTTTTTTGAGATGGAGTTTCGCTCTTGTTACCCAGGCTGGAGTGCAATGGCGCGATCTCGGCTCACCGCAACCTCCGCCTCCTGGGTTCAGGCAATTCTCCTGCCTCAGCCTCCTGAGGAGCTGGGATTATAGGCACGCGCCACCATGCCCAGCTAATTTTTTGTATTTTTAGTAGAGACGGGGTTTCACCATGTTGACCAGGTTGGTCTCGATCTCTCGACCTTGTGATCCACTCGCCTCGGCCTCCCAAAGTGCTGGGATTACAGGCTTGAGCCACCGCGCCCGGCCGTCTGGCCTATTTTAATTTAAAAAATCATTTTATTGGAGCATTTTGTACATATACAACTTGGTGAGTTTGGAGATAAGTACACCTGTGAAACTAAAGGTTAATCTTGTTTACTTTTCAGAAATTCTGTTTTTCCTCCCACAAGCTGATAGGCTTTTGAACCTGTCTATAAGATTAATTGTGTATCCAGGCTCACAATTATGAGGACACAAAGGCATACTGGATGTGGTAGATCACATCTGTGATCTCAGCACTTTGGGATACTGAAGTGGGCAGATTGCCTGAGGTCAAGAGTTTGAGACCAGTCTGACCAACATGGTGAAACCCCATCTCTGCTAAAAACAACAAAATTAGCCAGGCATGGTGGCATGTGCCTGTAATCCCAGCTACTTGGAAGGCTGAAGCAGGGGAACTGGTTGAACCAGGGAGGTGGAGGTTACAGTGACCTGAGATTGCACCACTGCACTCTAGCCTGGGCAACAGAGCGAGACTCCATCTCAACAACAACAACAAAAAAATGATCAATAGACTTTGGAGGACACAGGGAAAAGGGTGGGAGGGGATGAGGGATAAAAGACTACCCACTGGGTACAGTGTACACTGCTCGGGTGATGGGTGCACCAAAATCTCAGAAATCACCACTAAATAACTTATCCATGTAACCAAATACCACCTGTTCCCCAAAAAAACAATTAAAAAAAAAGAGAGAGAACAGTGTTTTTCTAAAAAAAAAAAAAAAAAAAAAAATTGTGTGAATTAATTGCTTATGTAATCAAAAGGTCAGTAGAAAACGGATGATGCTGGCCAGGCGCGGTGGCTCACGCCTGTAATCCCAGCACTTTGGGAGGCCGAGGCGGATGGATCACGAGGTCAAGAGATCGAGACCATCCTGGTCAACATGGTGAAACCCCGTCTCTACTAAAAATACAAAAAAATTAGCCGGGCATGGTGGCGCGTGCCTGTAATCCCAGCTGCTCAGGAGGCTGAGGCAGGAGAATTGCTTGAACCCAGGAGGCGGAGGTTGCAGTGAGCCGAGATCGCGCCATTGCACTCCAGCCTGGGTAACAGAAGTGAAACTCCGTCTCAAAAAAAAAAAAAAAAAGGAAAAAAAAATGGGTGATGCTTTTTTTTTTAAGAAGCAGTTTTTTGTTTTTAAGTTCAGCTTTTTATTGAACACATTATGAAAGAGGCTTAGTCAAAAAGACCAAAATCCACGTCATCATCAGACTCCTCAGATTCTTCTTTCTTTGCTTCCACTTTCTTCTCCTGAACTGGAACAGCAGCGGTGGAGGGGGCAGGACCTCCCGTGGGTGCAGCACCAGCTGCTGGAGCAGGTCCACCGGCCCCTGCATTGCAGATGAGGCTCCCAATGTTGACATGTGCCAGGGCCTTTGCAAACAAGCCAGGCCTAAAAGGTTCAACATTTACACCGGCTGCTTTAATGAGGGCATTGATCTTACCCTCCGTGATGGTCACCTCATCGTCGTGCAGAATGAGGGCCGAGTAGGCACAGGCGAGCTCGGAGACGGAGGCCGTGGTGAGGGTGAGGGTGAGGCTAACGCTGCCGGACGCTGTGCTAGTCACCGGATGTAGTGAGGGCCTCACCCCGACTCGGCCTTGGCTTCCTCGGAAGGACCAAGCACCTTGGTGGCAGCTGAGGAGGAGGAGTTTTTGCTCTTGTTGCCCAGGCTGGCGTGCAGTGGTGTGCTCTTGGCTCACTGCAACCTCTGCCTCACGGTTCAAGTGATTCCCCTGCCTCAGCCTCCCAAGTAGCTGGGATTACAGGTGTGTGCCACCACACCCAGCTAATTTTGTATTTTTAGTAGAGATGGGGTTTCACCCTGTTGACCAGGCTGGTCTCGAATTCCTGACCTCTGGTGATCCACCTGTCTAGGCCTCCCAAAGTGCTGGGAATACAGGTGTGAGTCACTGCACTCAACCTCTTGGGATTTTATTAAAGTTCAGGGGGTAATTTTGGTTTGTCTTCCCAGCATCTAGACTGCCAAATTTCAGCATCAGACCCCAAATTTCCTTTGTGGATCTCACTGTGTCAGTTTCAGTTCATGTGGTCCAGGGATTAAAGACAGGCCTGGGCCAGGCACGGTGGCTGACGCCTGTAATCCCAGCACTTTGGGAGGCTGATGGGGTGGATCACCTGAGGTCAGGAGTTTGAGACCAGCCTGACCAACTTGGTGAAACCCTGTCCTACTAAAAAAATACAAAATTAGCTGGGTGTGGTGGTGGATGTCTGTAATTCCAGCTACTCAGGAGGCTGAGGCAGGAGAATCTCTTGAAGCCAGGAGGCGAAGGTTGCAGTGAGCCAAGATCACACCATTGCAGTCCAGCTTGGGCAACAAGAGTGAAACCCCATCTCAGAAAATAAAAAACAACAACACTGAGGCCTGGCTAACAAAGCATAGTGTCCTCCTGGCCACAATGCCTGGCGCAGGTGCAGGCACAGGCAGGTGACCTAAGCAGGCCCAATCAGAACCGGGCTCAGAGCCTTTCTTTTTATTTATTTATTTTTTTTTCTGAGACGGAGTCTCGCTCTGTCGCTCAGGCTGGAGTGCAATGGCACAATCTCAGCTCACTGCAACCTCCGCCTCCCAGGTTCAAGCGATTCTCATGTCTCAGCCTCTCGAGTAGCTGGGATTACAGGTACATGCCACCACGCTAGGCTAATTTTTGTATTTTTAGTAGAGATGGGGTCTCATGATGTTGGCCAGGCTGTTCTGGCCTGACCTCAGGTGATCCACCCTCCTCGGCCTCCCAAGGTGCAGGGATTGGGCCCGGGCATAGTGGCTAACGCCTGTAATCCCAGTGACTCAGGGGAGGCTGAGGCAGGAGAATCACTCGAACCTGGGAGGCAGAGGTTGCAGTGAGCCGAGATGAGGCCAGTGCACTCCAGCCTGGCAACAGAGCAAGACACTGTTTCAAAAAATAAAAAAGTGCAAGATTACAGGGGTGGGTGAGCCACTGCACCTGGCCCCGCCTAGTTAATTTTTAAATTTTGTTTTGAGATAGTGAGAGATGAGGGTCTCACTATCTTGCCCAGGCTGGTGGTTTGTTTTTGTTTTTGTTTTTTGGAGACAGAGTCTTACTCTGCTGCCCAGACTAGAGTGCAGTGGCACCAACTTGGCTCACACCAACCTCCGCTTCCTGGGTTCAAGTGATTCTTGTGCCTCAGCCTCCTGACAAACTGACTCTTTTTTTTTTTTGAGATGGAGTTTCACTCTGTCGCCGAGGCTGGAGTGCAATGGTGTGATCTCGGCTCACTGCAACCTCTACCTCTCAGGTTCAAGCGATTCTCCTGCCTCAGCCTCCCAAGTAGCTGGAATTACAGGCACCTGCCACCACGCCTGGCTAATTTTTTGTATTTTTAGTAGAGATGGGTTTTCATCATATTAGGCTGGTCCTGATCTCCTGACCTTGTGATCCACCTGCTTTGGCCTCCCAAAGTGCTGGGATTCCAGGTATAAGCCACTGTGCCAGGCTTTGTTTTTTTTTTTTTTTTTTTTTTAGACAGAGTTTTGCTCTTGTTACTCGGGCTGGAGTGCAATGGCGCGATCTCGGCTCACCGCAACCTCCGCCTCCTGGGTTCAGGCAATTCTCCTGCCTCAGCCTCCTGAGTAGCTGGGATTACAGGCACGCGCCACCATGCCCAGCTAATTTTTTGTATTTTTAGTAGAGACGGGGTTTCACTATGTTGACCGGGATGGTCTCGATCTCTTGACCTCGTGATCCACCCGCCTCGGCCTCCCAAAGTGCTGGGATTACAGGCTTGAGCCACCGCGCCCGGCAGGCTTTTTTTTTTTTTTTTTTTTTTTTTTTTTTTTTTTTTGAGACGGAGTTTCGCTCTTGTTACCCAGGCTGGAGTGCAATGGCACGATCTCGGCTCACCGCAACCTCTGCCTCCTGGGCTCAGGCAATTCCCCTGCCTCAGCCTCCTGAGTAGCTGGGATTACAGGCACGTGCCACCATGCCCAGCTAATTTTTTGTATTTTTAGTAGAGACGGGGTTTCACCATGTTGACCAGGATGGTCTCGATCTCTCGACCTCGTGATCCACCCGCCTCGGCCTCCCAAAGTGCTGGGATTACAGGCTTGAGCCACCGCGCCCGGCGGCTTTTTTTTTTTTAATGGAGTTTCGCTCTTGTTGCCCAGGCTGGAGTGCAACGGTGCGATCTCAGCTCACTGCAACCTCTGCCTACTAGGTTCAAGCTATTAGTGCCTCAGCTTCCCAAATAGCTGGGATTACAGGCGCACATCACCATGCCTGTCTAATTTTTGTATTTTTAGTAGAGACAGGGTTTCTTCATGTTGGCCAGGCTGGTCTCAAACTCTCAACCTTAGGTGATCCGCCTGCCTTGGCCTCCCAAAGTGCTGGGATTACTGACATGAGCCACTGTGTCCCACCACAGCTGATAGTTTTTTAACCTTCCCCCTTCTAGTAGTCCCCAGGTTTTATTGTTGCCATTTTAATGTCTGTTAAGTACTCAATGTTTAGCTCCCACTTACTAGTGAGAACATGTGTTATTTGGTTTTCTGTTCTTGTGTTAATTTGCTTAGGATAACAACCTCTCATTAATTTATTAGTCAACAAATATTTATTTATTGAGTGTCTACTATGTGCCAGGCACTAGGGATACAATACATTGATGAGCAAGAGTGCTGTTCTTGTAGAGTGTAGCAGAGGACAATATAAATCAAATAATTACATTAATAAATATATGATTAGAAATTGGGAAATTCTCTAAAATAAAAGAAACAGCCCAGGCATGATGGCTTACACCTGTAATCCCAGCACTTTGGGAGGCTGAGGTGGGTGGATCACCTGAGGTTGGGAGTTTGAGACCAGCCTGGCCAGCATGGAGAAACCCATCTCTGCTAAAAATACAAAATTAGCCAGGCGTGGTGGCACATGCCTGTAATTCCACCTACTTGGGAGACTGCAGCAGGAGAATCACTTGAACCTGGGAGGTGGAGGTTGTGGTGAGCTGAGATCACACCATTGCACCCCAGCCTGGGTAGTAAGAGCAAAACTCTCTGAAAAAAAAAAAAAAAAAAAAAAAAAAAAAAAAAAAAAAAAACCAACGGAAAGAAACACAGGTAAATGCAACACTCCAGGGTAATGTTACTGGGAGTAATGTTACTGGGAGTAACATTACCTTGCAAGTGCTCTTTGTGGATTTCTCTACATGCCTTAAAGTCTGGAGTGATTCACTTTGTATATTTTCTGTTCGGTGTCTTATCCTCCCTGTGAGAGGAAGAGAGAATGGAAGAGAATCAATTCCTGCTCTTTTAAAGTTTCAGTGAAGAAACTAAAAAATATTTTCAAACTGCAAGCTGATTATAAGCACATTATAAGAAAACTGGGGCCAGGATCGGTGGCTTATGTCTGTAAACCCAGCACTTTGGGAGGCTGAAGCGGGCTGATCATAAAGTCAGAAGTTTGAGACCAGCCTGATCAACATGGTGGAAAAAACCCTGTCTCTAATAAAAACACAAAAATTAGGCCGGGCACAGGGGCTCACGCCTGTAATTCCAGCACTTTGGGAGGCTGAGGCGGGTGGATCACGAGGTCAAGAGATTGAGACCATCCTGGCCAACGTGGTGAAACCTTGTCTCTACTAAAATACAAAAATTAGCTGGGCATGGAGGCGCACACCTGAAGTCCCAGGTACTCTGGAGGCTGAGGCAGGAGAATTGCTTGAACCCAGGAAGTGGAGGTTGCAGTGAGCTGAGACCTTGCCACTGCACTCCAGCCTGGCACCAGGCGACAAAGTGAGACTCTTGTCAAAAAGGAAAAAAATTGGCCAGGAGTGTAACATGCCTGTAATCCCAGCTACTCAGGAGGCTGAGGCAGGAGAATCACTTGAACCAGGGAGATGGAGGTTGCAGTGAGCCGAGAGTGTGCCATTGCACTCCAGCCTGGGCAACAAATCGAGACTCCATCTCAAAACAAACAAACAAACAAACAAAACTGGGACCAGGCACGGTAGCTCATGTCTGTCATCCCAGCACCTTGGGAGGCTGGGGCAGGAGGATTGCTTGAGCCCAGGAGTTCAAGACCAGCCTGGGCAACAGTGAGACCTCGTCTCTACAAAAAATGAAAAACTTAGCCAGGCATGGTGGCGTGCACCTGAAGTCCTGGCTACTTGGGAGGCTGAGGTGGGACATTCCTTGAGCCCAGCAGTTCAAGGGTTCAGTAAGTAATGAAGTTCAAGGCTTCATTGTGACACTGCCCTCCAGCCTGGGTGACAGAGTGAGACCCTGTCTCAAGAAAAAAGAAAAAGAAAATTGAAAACTAGAAAAAAGAAAAAAAAAGTCAAGATTCCAAAATCTTAACAATTATTTTGTCTCCTCTTTATTTTTTTTACCACAGCTCTCACCTCCTCTTTATTTATTTATTTATTTATTTATTTATTTATTTATTTTTTATTTTTTGAGACAGAGTTTTGCTCCTGTTACCCAGGCTGGAGTGCAATGGCGCGATCTCGGCTCACCGCAACCTCCGCCTCCTGGGTTCAGGCAATTCTCCTGCCTCAGCCTCCTGAGTAGCTGGGATTACAGGCACGTGCCACCATGCCCAGCTAATTTTTTGTATTTTTAGTAGAGACGGGGTTTCACCTTGTTGACCAGGATGGTCTCGATCTCTCGACCTCGTGATCCACCCGCCTCGGCCTCCCAAAGTGCTGGGATTACAGGCTTGAGCCACCGCGCCCGGCTTATTTTTTATTATTTATTCACTTATTTTTATAAACAGAGACAGGGTCTTGCTCTGTTGATCAAGGTCTTGAATTCTTGGCCTCAAGCTATCCTCCTGCCTCAGCCTTCCAAAATGCTGGGATTACAGGTATGAGCCACCATGTCCAGGCCCATTTTGTCTTCTGAGCTTATTTCCTGCGCATATTTTTCCTGATACGTCACTTGGGATCGATGTGGAAAATATGTAAAAAAAAAAAAGTACAAGTTATAGAAGTAGGGGGAAATCCACATTGCTAATTTTGGCACATCTTCCAATTTGTTTTAATTACCTTATGATTGCAATCATGGTATGTATATAATTTTGTGTATTACTTTTTTCTAGATGATAGCCTTTTTTTTTTTTTTTTTTGAGACGGAGTTTCGCTCTTGCTACCCAGGCTGGAGTGCAATGGAGCGATCTCTGCTCACCGCAACTTCAGTCTCCTGGGTTCAAGCAATTCTTCTGCCTCAGCCTCCCGAGTAGCTGGGACTACAGGCGTGTGCCACTATGCCCAGCTAATTTTTGTATTTTTATTAGAGACGGGGTTTCACCATGTTGACCAGTATGGTCTTGATCTCTTGACCTCGTGATCCACCCGTCTTGGCCTCCCAAAGTGCTGGGATTATAGGAGTGAGCCACCGTGCCCAGCCTAGATGACAGTCTTAAAAATAACATCGCCGGCCGGGTGTGGTGGCTCACGCCTGTAATCCAAGCACTTTGGAGGCCAAGGCGGGTGGATCACCTGAGGTCGGGAGTTCAAGACCAGCCTGACCAACATGGTGAAACCCCGTCTTAAAAAAAAAAAAATACTGAGATGAAGAAAAAAAAATAAATAAATAAATAACATCATCATATAACAATGATGGTAAGATTATCTTGGCACTCAGGATACTTTTGGTTACAATTAACAGGAAACTCAATTCAAGTTGGCTTAAACATTAAGAAAATGCATCAGGTCACCTAACTGGAAGTCCAAAGGCGGGGCAGGCTTCAGAATTGACTTTTGCAAAGTTCGCTAATACTATCAAGGACTCAGATTCCTTCTGCGAGCCCACCCTGACGTCCAATGTCAGCACACCCAGCTAATTTTTCCTTTTTTTTTTTTTGAGACGGAGTTTCGCTCTTGTTACCCAGGCTGGAGTACAATGGCGCGATCTCGGCTCACCACAACCTCCACCTCCTGAGTTCAGGCGATTCTCCTGCCTCAGCCTCCTGAGTAGCTGGGATTACAGGCACGCGCCACCATGCCCAGCTAATGTTTTGTATTTTTAGTAGAGACGGGGTTTCACCATGTTGGCCAGGATGGTCTCGATCTCTTGACCTTGTGATCCACCCGCCTCAGCCTCCCAAAGTGCTGGGACTACAGGCTTGAGCCACCGCGCCCAGCCCAATTTTTACATTTTTATAGAGATGGGGGTCTTGCTATGTTGCCCAGGTCTTGAACTGCTGGCCTCAAGTCTTGAACTGCTGGCCTCAAGTGACCTTCCCACCTCAGCCTTCCAAGGTGCTGAGATCACAGGCATGAGCCACCACACCCGGATAAAACTGGACATCTTCATGATTTGCATTCACTCACATCAAATCAGCTTCTTCTCAGGCATTGTTCCAAGTTAACATTTAATTATTGTTTACCAAGTAGTTGAAATTGCTGTGTCCCTTACTCCTTCACATTCTCCCACCATTCAATCCAAATCCCTCAGATTTTGCACGTTAGAATTAGAGGTGCCCACTGAAAAGAACTGAGACTCTGAGAACCGTGAGCTTGTTTTTTTTTTTTTTTTTCACTGTTGAATTCCCAATGCCAACACATTGCCTGGTGCAGCGGTACCCAATAAAGGCAGGCAGGCAAGAACAAGAGATGGTCTGGGAAGCAGACTTAAAGCAAACATGAAAAGGCTTTGTTTCTTCTTCCTGCTTATTCTGAGTTGGAGTTTCAAAAGAAGTTTGGTATAATGATGAGTTTTGGTTTTGGTTTTGTCTTTTTTGGTGGTGGTGGTAGGTATGTGTTAGTTGCAACTAGATTCATCTATGTCTCTTCAGGAGTCAAAGGACATGAAAGTGAGAGTGTCCAGAATGTTTTGGGTGGGACTGCACAGGTTACTTCTCTGGCCGACTAGGTTGATCTGCATGCCTTCCCAGGCAGCAGAGATTTTATGTTGGATTGCAGTGTATTGAGCACTTGCACCCACCCTTATATAAGCCACACATTTCTCTGCTTCTTCCCCTTCACCTGTACACTCCTCTGCCAAGAAACTAGGGAAAGCATTCTGTCAGAGATGTTTTGGAGCTGAAGTTTTTCTTTTGTCTCAGAGCAAACTGCAATAAACTCTGGCAATAACCAGTTCCAGGAAGTGCAGGAAATGACACACATCCCCACCGCAGCAGCTTTTGTTCAAAAAACCGGGTGACTTCATGATATGATCGTGTGTGCTGTGGAATATATGCACTGAACCAAAAGCTCCTCATGAGTTTTTCTGAAGCAAAGATTATTAGACAAAGCTAAAACGGTTCAGTAATTTTGTCTCAAGGCCAACTCATGTTGAAAAGTTGATTGGATAGCTTTGTACAGCGGCAGGATCACAGCCAATGAGGCATGATTATTGCTAATTGAAAACTTTTCCCAATACCCTGGCATTGGCAATTTTTGATAGTCTCTACGGAGATTGAACTTCAAAAACAAAAGTTGATTGTAAATTTCTTTTCTTTTCTTTTTGAGATGAAGTCTTGCTCTGTTGCCCGGGCTGGAGTGCAGTGGCATGATCCTGGCTTACTGCAATCTGTCTTCCGGGTTCATGTGATTATCCTGCCTCAGCCTCCCGAGTAGCTGGGATTACAGGCACCTGCCACCACACCCGGCTAATTTTGTCTTTTTAGTAGAGACAGGGTTTTGCCATGTTGGCCAGGCTGGTTTTGAACTCCTGAGCTCAAGGGATCCACCTGCCTCGGCCTCCCAAAGTGATGGGATGAAGGGCATGAGCCACCACGCCCAGCAAGATTTCAGATTTCTATATGAGTTTGGAAAAGGGATAAAACTACCAATGACTTATTATTATTTAGTCTACTAAATTTAAATTTACTATTATTTAGTCTACTAAATTTACTAATTCCTTCCTTTTCTGAATTCCCATAACATTTCTAGTTTGAAGCTATAACTTATTACATTACGACTGATCTCTAGTTGTTTTATATATACAAATTTTATATAAGCTCCAGAGCAGGAATTATATATATATATATATATATATATATATATATATATATATTTTTTTTTTTTTTTTATATACAGTCTCACTATTGCCCAGGTAGTGACGAGATCCTGGCTCACTGTAACCTCCATCTCCTGGGTTCAAGCGATTCTTGTGCCTCAGCCTCCTAAGTAGCTGGGATTACAGTCACAGGCCACCATGCTCAGGTTTTTTTTTCTTTTTTTTTTTGAGACAGAGTCTTGCTCTGTCTCCAGGCTGGAGTGCAGTGGCAACCTCGGTTCACTGCAACCTCCGCCTCCTGGGTTCAAGTGATTCTTTTGCCTCAGCCTCCTCAGTACCTGGGATTACAGGTGTGCACCACCATGCCCAGCTAATTTTTGTATTTTTAGTAGAGATGGGGTTTCACCATGTTGGCCAGGAGTCTTGATCTCCTGACCTTGTGATCCACCTGCCTCAGCCTCCCAAAGGGTTGGGATTACAGGCATGAGCCAGCGTGTCCAGGCTTTTTTTTTTTTTTTTTTGTATTTTAGTAGATACGGGTTTCACCATGTTTCTCAAGCTGGTCTCACACTCATGAGCTCAGGCCATCTGCCCGCCTCCACCTCCCAAAGTGCTAGGATTACAGGCATGAGCCACCATGCTGGCCCATATTCTATATTCCTCTGATATTCTATATTCCTTTGAATCCTCCACAATTCTTTTAAATAGCGCTTAATGCATGGAAGAGGCTTATAATTAATTCACCTGAAATTCTATTACCTATTCTAACAGAGGTTAGAAAATGGAATGCCAAGCCAGGCACGGTGGCTCATGCCTGTAATCCCAACACTAGGAGGCTGAGGTGGGCAGATTACTTGAGATCAGGAGTTCGAGACCAGCCTAGCCAACATGGTGAACCCTGTCTCTACTAAAAGTACAAAAAATTCGCCAGGCGTGGTGGTGCACACCTGTAATCCTAGCTACTTGGGAGGCTGAGGCACAAGGATCACTTGAACCCAGGAGGCAGAGGATGCACTGAGCCAAGATGGTGTTACTGCACTCCAGCCTGGGTGACAGAGTGAGACTGTTTTGAAAAAATAAAAGTTAAATAGTGAGGACAAAAAAATCCACTCCTGGGCCAGGTGAGGTGGCTCAAGCCTGTAATCCTAGCACTTTGGAAGGCTGAGGCAGGAGGATTACTTGAGAGTTCAAGAGTTCAAGATCTGCCTCTACAAAAAAAAATGTAAAAATCAAGCACAGAGTGGTGGCACATGCCTGTAGTCCCAGCTACTAAAGAGGCTGAGGCAGGAGGATCACCTTAAACTCAGGAGTTTTAGGTCACAGTGAGCCATGATCACACCACTGCACTCCATCCAGCCTAACAGACAGAAGGAGATTGTCTTTTTTAAACCAAAACAGGCCGGGTACAGTCTCACGCTTATAATCCCAGCACTTTGGGAGGCTGAGGTGGTGGATCACTTGAGGTCAGGAGTTCAAGACCAGGCTGGCCAAATTGGTGAAACCCTATCTCTACTAAAAATACAAAAATTGGTGGGGCATGGTGGCTTGTGCCTGTAATCCCAGTCCTTTTGGAGGCCAAGGTGGGTGGATCATCTGAGGTCAGGAGTTTGAAACCACCCTGACCAACAAGGTGAAACATCTCCAAACAACAAAACAAAAAACCAAAAAAATACAAAACTTACCTGCTCGTGGTGGTGCGCATCTATAATCCCAGCTACTCAGGAGGCTGAGGTGAGAGAATCACTTGAACCCAGGGAGCAGGGGCTGCAGTGAGCCCAGATCACGCCACTGCACTGCAGCCTGGGCAAGAGTAAGACTCTGTCTCAAAACAAAACAAAAAAAACATTTGTTTAATGTCCAGACTACGTCCTCTCTACCAATACTGGTGACCATTTAGACTAACAGATATAAAACGACCTTCATGTAAAATATTATCACTCTTTCAATTCTCATTTAGTATGTTTACTTCTAACAGCTTTAAGTAACCCTTGTCAGGGAGCAAATGTGCTGTCATTTTCCATGTGTTTTTCCTGTCTGCTCCTAAGAGGTGATTTCTTCAAATGAAGGAGGACTCCATGGCATGCTCTCTAGCACTTGACACAGGTGTTTTGTACCTAGCGGGCATTCAAATTTTTTGAATTCGTATTTTCCAGAATGTAACATCTCATGGCATGTTTTTCTTAACCCTTCTGCAATGATTCCAAAAATTCTACCCACTGATAGGTAAGTAAAGGAAAGCCCAAGTTGTTTAAAAGTTTTGTATTATGTCATACAAACTGTCTTCACATACAAGTGCATTAAAGAACTTTTCCCTCTTCCTCCTCCCCAAACATCACAGTAGACCAGTTTTTGCTAATGTATGACAAAGTTGAAACATATGTCCCCTGTGAATTCTAAACAGCTAATTCTAGACACTGACATCTGGATCTTATAATTTACTGGTCTGGTGTGGACATGAACAGTTCCACTGCCTTTCAACTTATCCCTGAATTTTTCTTTTCAAAGTTCTAGGCAGTAATTAATTTTAATGCCCTTGAATTTGATAAAGCTGATTACTTAGAGCTTATAAATTAGCCTCACTTTATATGACACTAAGAATAGAGCTATGACTTATGCATATTATACCTGTCAAACTACCTAGCACCTCCAATAGAACTCTTCAGTACTAATGGATGGACTAATTAATACAAGGATTTAATATATGACAGGGATAGTCTTAAAAACACCTATTTGTTATTTTCCTTATATATAATCCAAATTCCCTTCTATCCTTCTGGCAATATTCTCTACTGCCTGACTACCTTAATTATATGGTGTTGGCCAGGTGCAGTGGCTCATGCCTATAAACATAGCACGTTGGGAGGCTGAGGCAGGCAGATCACAATGTCAGGAGTTCGAGACCAGCCCGGCCAGTATGATGAAACCCTGTCTCTACTAAAAATACAAAAATTAGCCGGGTGTGGTGGCGGGCACCTGTAGTCCTAGCTACTAGAGAGGCTGAGGCAGGAGAATCACTTGAACCTCGGAGGCAGAGGTTGCAGTGAGCTGAGATTGTGCCACTGCATTCCAGCCTGGGTGACAGAGACTCCATCTCAAATAATAACAATAATTATAATTATAATTATTATATAGTGTCAATTTCTTGCTTGGGCCAGGTGGTGGCTCATGCCTGTAATCCCAGGAGAGTGGGAGGATTGCTTGAGCCCAGGAGTTCGAGACCAGCCTGGGCAAAATAGTGAAACCTCATGTCTATTAAAATACATATATATATTGCTTAATGCTAATAAAAATTCCCTAGGTCATTAGTAATAAGCTATGGCATTAAACTTAAAAGGCACTAAACCAGTTTAAATGTAAAACATTCTCAGAATTGCACTCTATTTTTCTACTTTTTGATGCTTTTCCAAAGTGCTATAGTTCCTGTGAGATTTTTGTCCTGTACAGAATCAAATTCTAGGTCTTTCATTTTTGGATGGCTTGAGTACCATAAAGCATGATTTATTTGGTATCAAAAATGTTTCCAGGAGCTTCAAAAGGGACCACTACTCAGAGCCAAAAAGGTTCCAACAGTCACTTTTCTTTAAATCTAGAATATTTATCATGAGTTTATAAAGAAAAACACAACTCTGTCCTACTTCCTCTAATAAAAATGGAAAATATTAAGATGAGCTGCGTGCTTATCAAGAGGTGCTACACAAAGTCATCTTCTTAGTTTCATGTTGACACAAACATTGCTTCAGTGACATTTAATATTCAACATGTGATACATTACTCTTAGCACTTTTGCACTCTCCACATATAACAAGGTCAGTTATCAAAACAGTCCTGATCTTAAAACAGAATTCACTACCAATATTTAAAGCTATTTCTTCCTAGGACTACAGTTTCTCAACAATGCACAGGAAGCAAAGTGGTATTCCCTT